ACCTTTCTCAGCCGTAAATGTCTATTCGGTCATGCGTTCATTTTGTTTAGCTGTGGGTACCTGTTGCTCTGCTCTGACATTAAGTTGGGCGTTATTTCCCTCCGGGCGGGTGAGCGGGGTCCTGCCTAACCTCTCTAATGGCTCTGCTTTAATAGAAATGGTGTGACTGTGTTTGATAAGACTCAAAAAGAGCCACTTGTGTCTTTCTAGGCCTTTGGATCAAGTGACTTTTGTGTGGCCATGTCTAACAAGGCCCATTAATTTATCAGAGAGTCGTCTGTTCCCACATTCCTCCCATCTCTGCAATGACGAGCGCTTTAAAACCGAGCTTATCGCCATCTGAATCGATTCTAAGCCAGATGAGATCACAGAGCACATTCATGGGCGAAACTAAAAAATGAGGCAGCGTTAGACCAGAGGAAGTGTAAGGAGATTGTCTTAAATTTCCCTTTAATAATGCCTTTCATATTCCTCTAATGAGGCCCTGCAGCTAGGAGCAGTAAATGAGTGCATTTTCTTTATTTAAGCGAGAACATGAGCACATCTATTCTAATTGAGTCCCAATGCTTTCATTTGTTAGGCCTCTTTGAAAACTACTGCTTTTGAAATGTTTACAGACTTTCATAAGCTGTTAAATGAAATGTGGTCCCTTTTTCCATGACACTCCAGCAGCAGAGGAACTTGCTAAAGAGACGGGAACCGCTGAATAGACTAAAAGAGAAACAAATGTTATATATTTATAATTTGTTTTGTTTTTTTGCTTCTGTTTAATATCGAAGCCAGTAAAAGGGTTATTTGTTAAAGACAGAGAATTCCATTTTAATCATGAACAAGACTCCTAATATGGAAGCTACGAAATGAGTTATAGATTCAGCATTCTTAATATGAGATATGATGGCTGAGTTCAATAACAAACGGTGTATAAAGCCTGTTCTTTTGTGTGGCTATTAGTTCTGTGCTGTTTCATCAGGTAAATGCATCAAACACACTGCTGCCATCCTGTCTAATCCTATAGGCCCGGATTTGTTTGGCTAATGCTAAAACCCATTTGACCCATTTCTGTCCTTCCAAAGCTTGTCAACAGGCATCTGAAAACATTCTGCCATCATATTGCATAGCACTAATAAGCCCGAATATAGATATCACACACGCTGTTTTTCAAATGTCAAATGTGTTTATGAATCAGGAATTTAAATAATTTATGCGGCTGCCATTGAAATGTTGATGTGAGAAGTAAATGGCGGATCACATTAGACTTCAGAAATGATCCGTCTGTTTTAAATACGTAATCCTAATGGCCAAGCCTTTGTTGTTGTTTTACACTGTACAATATTGTGATTTCAATACACAGCAATTAACTAATCAAACTAAACTTTTCGGTATATATTACTGAATGTCTATCTTTGAATAGGTCCATTCAATAATAACATGTAATATTACTGCCCAAACCTGGAGCAATATTTTTGAAACATGACATTTATTTTTATTAAGCTCATCATAATTTATATTTGTTTTATAGATAGATAGATAGATATGTATATAAATAGCCAACATATACCTTAATAAATTCGATTAGTTTAGATTTAGTTATATTGCATTATTATAATTACATGAAAACGTATAAACAACTTAAACAAGTATTAGTCTATGTAGTGTCAGAACTAGAATATGACTTTTAGACTTACATAAGCTGTTAAATGAAATGTGGTCCCTTTTTCCATGACACTCCAGCAGCAGAGGAACTTGCTAAAGAGACGGGAACCGCTGAATAGACTAAAAGAGAAACAAATGTTATATATTTATAATTTGTTTTTGTTTTTTTGCTTCTGTTTAATATCGAAGCCAGTAAAAGGGTTATTTGTTAAAGACAGAGAATTCCATTTTAATCATGAACAAGACTCCTAATATGGAAGCTACGAAATGAGTTATAGATTCAGCATTCTTAATATGAGATATGATGGCTGAGTTCAATAACAAACGGTGTATAAAGCCTGTTCTTTTGTGTGGCTATTAGTTCTGTGCTGTTTCATCAGGTAAATGCATCAAACACACTGCTGCCATCCTGTCTAATCCTATAGGCCCGGATTTGTTTGGCTAATGCTAAAACCCATTTGACCCATTTCTGTCCTTCCAAAGCTTGTCAACAGGCATCTGAAAACATTCTGCCATCATATTGCATAGCACTAATAAGCCCGAATATAGATATCACACACGCTGTTTTTCAAATGTCAAATGTGTTTATGAATCAGGAATTTAAATAATTTATGCGGCTGCCATTGAAATGTTGATGTGAGAAGTAAATGGTGGATCACATTAGACTTCAGAAATGATCCGTCTGTTTTAAATACATAATCCTAATGGCCAAGCCTTTGTTGTTGTTTTACACTGTACAGTATTGTGATTTCTATACACAGCAATGAACTAATCAAACTAAACTTTTCGGTATATATTACTGAATGTCTATCTTTGAATAGGTCCATTCAATAATAACATGTAATATTACTGCCCAAACCTGGAGCAATATTTTTGAAACATGACATTTATTTTTATTAAGCTCATCATAATTTATATTTGTTTTATAGATAGATAGATAGATATGTATATAAATAGCCAACATATACCTTAATAAATTCGATTAAGATATATCGTGTTATACTGCATTATTATAATTATATGTAAACGTATAAACAAGGCTATACAGTGTCATATAGTGTATATACAGTCACATAAAGATATAAACAACAGTTTTCCTTTTGTCAAAGATGAAACAAAAGCACTGTTGCTGCCAGAAAAGCATTAATACGCCTATTTGTTCCTGTCCTTTGGAAGTCCCTGAGCGTGACGAGCAGCTTTGGGTTGAAGTTAGCAAACTGACCTGAGAAGTGATGGAGCTCTAGACAGCGCGAAGATGCCACTTACTTTCTTCACCAACTCTTCTTGCCTTGTCAATCCAGGATGAGTTAACATTTGAGGCTTCAGAGTGTGTATGATTCCCTGAGTGCGGAGTTGCCCTCCTGTGTTGTCAGTTGTATTCAGAGAATGGACAGATGGCCTTGTGCCCGTACCTCTGGTCGACTGAGACTAGCTTTACTGTTTTTTTCCCCCGCTCTGGCTTAGCCTCTGATAAGCCTTTAGCCCAGGCTACGTGAGACCGGAGGCTCTCTCAGTTCTTAATACTCACGTAGTTGATGCTGCAGCACCTTCATCCTGGGAACGAATGCATTAGGGAATCCCGAGAAGAACAGAAGGCAACAGGTTTTCCATACTTTGGTGAAGCTGCAATATGGACAGCTGACCTCGTCTGGCAAAATATTCACGGAAAAGTACGACAAAATTGTCTAACTGTGAGACTTGAATCTTGGAACGCATTGTCCACTTTGGCAGGGAAGACCTAGATAAGGCATATGCATGGATAATGACATTTTGAAGGACACATAAGAAGAAGACGAAAATGCCAAATGTTTTGCCAGCACCCCCAATCAACATAAGCATCTCCAAATTGACTGTCACATCATTATGGACAGAAAGACACAATGTCTCTTTGGCCGGTTTCCCCTCCCCCACACTGCTAATGAGGCCAAAGTCCTGTGAAAACAATGTGGCCCTTTAACAGAAAAAGATGTGCTCTGCTCAGCAGCAGAATTTCAAAGTGAATGAATTAGTGGAGCAGAAGTGGCATATTTAATCACTGCCTGCTGTCTGGGATGGAAATGAACAATGTCTCTGTGGATCTCCCTTCCCTCCCTGCATATGTGTTGATAAATAGTGTAAAATCAAGTATGACCGTTACATGATCAACAGTAGGGTTATTATTGTTAACTATATATATCACAAAGGTTTTTTTTGTTGTGATAATTGAAATAAAACTGAAATAAATGAAAATATAAATACTAGATGAAAAACGAAACAAAAATGAGAAATGTCGCCCTGGCAACTAAAAGTTTAAGTACTAAAATACTAAAATTAGTACTACTAAACTAAAAATAAATAGATAAAAAATAAAATAAAAGCACACAAAAAGCAAAAACGACTAAAATGTAAAAAAAAAAAAAAAGCTACTTCAAAATATTAATAAAAATACTAAAATTCTAATACTAAAACATTGACAATCACAGTGATTATTACTTTTTCTACAATAGTTTTGCACTCTATCTATACATCCATATGAATATAAATCCCAGAAATTGCTAATAGAACTGTTGTTTTAATACAACATAAAGTGAATTGAGTGTGACTGTTTATCTATTTTCATACTATAAAACCCCCTGTGATATGCCCTTGTGTCTTAGTAATATATTTTTCTCAGTATCTGTTCTTAGTTGCAGACACTCTCCAATATAAAGTCCCACAGATCTCATTCTGAGAGGCTACATTATCAAAACTATTGTGACCTGAATTTTACTTTTGTACATACCAGTCACAGCAGTGTGAGGTTAACCTTAAGAAACCACACAAAAATATGTTACAAAAGTTAGTAAGATTTATCATGGTGACACTGGTAATACTGTGGTATTTTTTAAAAACGAATTTCATGTGTGTGGTTGTTAATACCAAGCGAGTTTTCAACTGTTTTCTTTTTTAATCTATTACAAAATGTAATTTATTCCTGTGATGTAAAGCTGAATTTGCAGCATCATTACTCCAGTCCTCAGTGTCACGTGATCCTTCAGAAATCTAATTCTAATATGCTGATTTGCTGCTCAAGAAACATTTATTTTTATTTCCAATGTTGAAAACAGCTGTGCTGCATTTTTTTATAATTATATGGATTCTATTTTTTCAGGATTCTTTGATGAACTATCAAAGAAGTAAAAGAATTAATCCACTTCAAGATAATGATAGGTGATCAGTTACAGTATTTATACTTTTGTTAAGGTTGCTAACTTCCCTCTGCATGTGAGTCCACCAGACATGCTTCAGAAACGTCTTGAGGTTTTAATGAAACTCTACTATATTTGTCCTGCAGAAAGACCAACAGTCACACTGCTGTTGGACTTTGGTCTCGGTTCTATCAATTGGACATGGTAAGCGTTACATAAATTCGCGAAAGAGGGAGCTCTTGTGTCTGTCTGTCTCTACAGACATGGAGACACAGTCTTCACTGGAGTTTCAGGACTTACGCACTTTTGAGAGTTTTAAGGGTTTCTGGCACTATTATGGTTACGGCGTTGATCAACAAGATCTGATCGATCGGGAATTTAAACGGATTAAAGGTAAAAGAAGGTCCTTAGCCTCCTTCACGTTCAGTAACGTGTCAAAATCTGCTTGTGGTGCTGCTACTTACTCTCACGCTTTAACAACATACGAATATTTGTTTGTTTAATAAATAACCGATTTTGTATTAGACAGACAAAAAACTGCCTTCTAACTTCTCCAGCGGTTGAGAGTGTGGGCCTGTAATACTGCAATGTTTACTTTCACTTTAGTTATTGTCATTTGGTTAGAATGAATGCAGCGCCCTCTGTTGATCTCCGTGTGAATTACATACAGAGGCTGAGTAGTACACGCTAATACGTGCCTCGTTCTCTTTTTAAGGTGTTACATACCTTGATCATGCAGGGACAACGCTATTTCCTGAATCTCAGATTAAAGGATTTTATGATGATATATCTAGGAATGTTTATGGTGAGTTCCTTCATATGCATTGTTGAATGCATAACTTAATAATATCAACATCAGAATTTGCTTTAGATCATAACGTACTTTTCTTTGTCAGGCAATCCTCACAGTCATAATCCCAGCAGTAGACTAACACATGACACTGTGGAAAGTGTCAGATACAGGTAAGCACTTTTGCACCATCTGAATTTTCAGTGAGTCATAGCATAGAAATATTTATTACAATTATATAGTATACAATTATAATAGAAATCGGAAAGGCACACACGGTATATATATATATATATATATATATACACACACACACACACACACACCATCTGCATTTTCAATGAGTCATAGCATAGAAATATTTATTAAAATGATATACAGTAGTTATATACAGTTATAATAGAAATAGGAAACACGCTCACACACACACAAATTAAACCTAATAAAATAGTTTTTGGTCATTAAAATGAAAAAACATTTGATGAACAATTAAACTTTAAAAACTTTAACAAAAATTCTAAACTAATTAAGTTAGAACTAATTAAAGTAGCCTAATAAAATTAAGAAATTGTTCAAATTAAAACAAAAATAAAAAATAAATTAAAGCAAAAAAAGAAAAAAAAGAAAAAAAAGACAAGCAAAACTGCTAAAAATGTAAACAAATTTAAATGAGAACTGAAAATATAAAAATAAAAGCTAATTTCAAATATGAATAAATCGTGTAATAGTACATAAATTATACTAAAATAACATTGCAAGAGAGAAACAAAACATAAACAGAGGGAACAAAAAGATTTGAAACACTTACAGAGAAAGCTTGAATTGAGAATTCAGCATTAGTAATATTTTAAGCAGTATTATAAGTAGTATAATAAGATTTTCTTCAAGATCTGATGATAAGATATGGGTATGTTATGATATATAGTTGAAGATAAGACAAGATAAGGCAAGATAAGATAGTTCTTTGTTTTGAACCCCTGCAGGATACTGGGACACTTTAATACATGTCCTGAAGAGTACTCAGTGATTTTCACATCAGGATGTACTGCAGCACTGAAATTAGTGGCTGACACTTTCCCCTGGAAGGCCGCATCAAATGAGGGGCCAGGAAGTCAGTTCTGCTATCTCACTGACAACCACACCTCTGTGGTGGGCATTCGCGGTGTGACCGCACTCCAGGGAGTTGGCACAGTTTCTGTTCTACCTCACGAAGTGGAGAGAAGAGTGAGAAAACCCCCGACACAGACAAATGGAGAGGAGAGCTCTGCACCTCATCTTTTCTGTTATCCTGCCCAGAGTAACTTCTCAGGCAGAAAGTATCCTCTGAGCTATGTGAAGGGAATTCAGTCTCAGCAGCTCTATCCAGCATGCGAGCACCGCGGTCGATGGTTTGTTCTCCTGGACGCTGCCGGTTTTGTAAGCTGCTCACCTCTGGATCTAAGCCAATATCCCGCTGATTTTGTGCCAATATCTTTCTACAAAATGTTCGGCTTCCCGACTGGACTCGGAGCCTTGCTGGTGAGGAATGAGGCTGCTGAGGTCTTGAGAAAAACGTACTTTGGAGGAGGGACAGCAGCGGCGTATCTTGTGGCAGAGAACTATTTTGTACCAAAGCCAAATGTAGTCAGCAGGTAGGATGTTACAGGAAGAATTTGACCTTTAATTGTTGGCAAGCAGCATAGTTGAGGCTACCTGTCATAATATATTTAATGCATAATTGCTTTTTCCACAACTTTATCAGGTTTGAGGATGGCACAGTCTCCTTCCTTGACATAATTTCTCTCCATCATGGCTTTGAAACACTTCAAAAACTTACAGGTTCAGAAGTTTTTGGTTTACGTCTTGAACATGGTTATGATTCACATTGTTATGACTTGCAGATGTTTTTGG